TAAACAGAAAGATCGATGTACGAGGCCGATATCCAACTTACACACCGTAAAACTATATTTGCTTGAGCAATGGCTGATCCAAGCAATTGATGTAATGCACAAATATTATCTTTAACACAGCGCATATACAGGTAGGCTTTTATTAACGTTCTGCTTAAATACAAAACAATATATATTTTGCATTTAACTTTGCTTTTCCATTTAAAATAATAATCAAAAAAAGCTAAATGTGCAATTTGACAATAATAAAGTGAAGAGGTCTGTAATAGAAGGTATTTTAAAGAATGAATAATTATGTTAATAGTATTTCGTATCAGAAATCGCAGATTCTATGGCATTTGCCCCCTGACAATTGTCATCTCGGACGTTTGCCCCCCCCCCCCCCCCTTTGTTTTTGCTGTTGCGACTTGTCACTTGTCAGAGATCATCTCGTGTATAGATTTTTTTTGTATGTCAATGGAAACATTATAGTTCATTTATTTATGGATGCTATTTTGATTTTCACAAATTTGCGCGAGAGTTTTTGTGTGTTCAAGCACAATGAAATTTCGACAACAGGCAATGAATTTTGGTAGCAAACAATTAAATATTTTAACATTTTTAAAACAGGAAGAGGGTTGGGGGGCAAATGTCCGCTCCTTCCAAAGATTTGAGGGGGCAAATGACCGCCACTGCAAAAAGGGGGCATAAATCTGAGAAGTCAACTGCCCGGAGGGCAATGTCCGGATACCCAGCAGACCACGAAAGACTTACATATGTATATTGCTGGCAAGTTTGAGATACATGATCCGAAACTATATTTCATATAACAAATTATAAAGTGTTCTAGAATAAAATATGATCGTTCATCATATAAAGTTTTTATACTAAAACACTTATAACTTTATTAACATTTCTTTTCAAGAATTTTTAATGATATCCGAATAATACATTTCTGTCGTTTCTATCGATATTTGAAATACTAATGAAAGATGTGCCCATCGTAGACCAATCCACTTTAAGCACTTCTATATGCATGTCACTATAAGCAATGTTTGGATTCTTCAACGTTGTTATGTAGAATTCTTTGAAACTAAGCCCTAGCTTCGAAGGTTTTCAAGGGAAATCAGTTTTGATTTTTCTCCGGTTTGATAGAAAAACAGGATAAAGCCTAACTCAAAGAGAGGGGGTAGGGGTTAACGGGGATTTAACAATCTGGTTGATCCCGCGGATGGGAATGGGACTAGCTATTTACTGTGTAGCTGCGGTTTCTAATGTAAAGCGTATATAAAATGGTGAAAAGTTGTAAAGCGGACATATTTTTGGTGCATTTTTCCGGTACAATTTGTATCTACTGTGAATTTTCTAGAACGTTTTAGATGTTATGGTATAGGTGATTTAAAATCGTAATAAGTATGCTGTGATTCATAAAAATGAACTTGAAGCGTTCATTTTTGTTATATTGTGAACAGTTATATGAATGACAGAGGAACCACTTAGATTACTATTTCTTTGAAAAATGACGCGATTAAATAAATGTTAAATGTGTCCTAACTTTGATATGCCATCCATTATTTTTATTCAAAGATATAATATAGGGATGCTGGAATAATTGCCAAGTGCATTCAATAAACATTATCTTGTTTAAAAAATGTATCCCGATTTTGTAAGGCAGGATCGAACATTATGACTATCATTTACATTTTATTTTTGATTGCATTTCATGTTTTCTTTGTCTGCGCACAGGCAGGTTTATTTTTTTCACGTGTTTTTCATGACCGGGTCTGTCTGACTAGAACAGACCTGTGCACGTGCAAAAGATAGACCTCATAACGTACTTTCTTTGTTTAAACAGGTCTATCCGAAAACTATAGACCTGTCACAAACAATAGAGGAGGTGTGTAAGTGCCGTGATCAATAGCCGTGACCGCTTTATGTACTCAGTAAAACATGTTATGTATCTTTTTATTTAAAGAATAATGTTAGTGTTTCGGGTGTCTCACAACTCAACTCGGAGAACTTGTATCTATGTGTGCATTTGAAATACATTTCTGCCACTTCAGTAAGAATCGTGGCGGGATAATGAGCAAAAATCTTACCGAAATAAATGATCCAGATATTAAGTAACCATGATTTAGAAAAACAACGATAAACTATTTAAGTAATAAGTATTTACATCATGAATTAGTAACCCTTAATCTGCACCAAATTCTTATATATTTAGGCATCGTGTAAAAAACGCGTTCAAACCTTGAATTAAATGCAATAAAATTTAGCAGTGTTTATCTAACTGACGTATTATACCTTTATGTTGTAGCATTATACTGATGTTTTTTTAATATTCCATATAGAATTTATATCCTCCATAACACTTTTAGTAGAGCGTTCCTCGACTGCAGAAGGTTATTAGATACCAAATATATGAAAAATGGTATTAACAGCTTCTGGCTTGGCGCTTAACATTTAAACAGTAGTGAAAATGTTTAATATATCGAAAGCAAGAAATCCCACTCTCTGATTCAAGTGGAAAATAAGATCGTGCACTGGAAAGAGAACCTGGTCAGGTACTACAATAGACTAACTATCAGCATATGACTTCAAAAGTGTTGAAATATCTGCGGAAGCACAGCAGAAAAAAACATGAAAATTGCAGACTGGGTTTGATTAATTCTATACATGAAATGGAAAACCTTTTGGGGTCACCGTTCTCATTTTCGAGTTACCTGCTCTTTAATTGGACTTTTCGTTAAATTCAAGGACAGATTATTTACAATGCGAAACAAAACATTTTTATTTCTTCTTATTTTCATGAAGCTTACCTTCGCCTTAGTCAATATGCAAAATTTCAAGAACATGTTTAGAGTGGATTGTTTTTCCCCCACTTTTTCTCTCAGTTTGTGCATTTTTTCTTACAAATTGGCTATTTTTTATGAATTTAGAGTACCTTTATTTTCATTAAAAACATGACAGAAACGATGTAGGGAACTGCATGTAATAACTTATTGTATTCAATATTACAACGAAAAAACATTGTCCAGAAGTAAAAACAAGAATTCATTCACGTATGTATAAGTTATCTGCCCTTTAAATGACCTCAAATAAGTAGAAAATTCTTATTCAGCGGCAGATAACTCAAAAACGAGTACGGAGACTCCGATTTTTGTTCCTCTTAATATGTTTCTGTTTTCATATTCTAACAACATGCCAAGTTTAAAGAAATCTTATACAAATGAAGAACAGTTTTAATTTTGCCTTATACCTATATGAAAACTCCCGAAATCGTCCTTAACAGATGTGAAGATGGGGGCCAACACGGACATCTGGCCAGCAGCTTTGCTCCCACCTAGTCCCGAGACAACTCAAACCCGGTCCAGACCCAGATGAACTTCACAAGCGGGGCCGTAGTGAAGACGTCAAGATGATCGTGCTCAATATGTCAAACGTTTTTCCATCATCAAAGGACGAAACTATTGATACAAGTCAGCTCACTACACAAAACAGACCATCAGCGCCAAACGACCAATGGCTGAGCTTATTAGAAAAGTTCCGAATTTACTTAAAGAAACTTGGCATCAGATCGTCTTGTAGTAAGTAAATATGAACATTACGGTGTGTTGAAAGAAACACAGTAAAATACCCTGGCCTTATTTCAAAGTGTTCATAATATGCGTTGAGATGAACCCTCAATATTAGCGTAACAGTTCCTCGGTAATCCTTTCCGACATTATGTCGCAAATGTCTTATATTAAGGTGTGAAAACAAGAAAGGAATGTAATTATCGGACAATGGTGTGTACTTCAAACATGCTGATTTTAGTTTATTAATTTTTTCATATATTAACTAGCGGTCATTAGGGGTGTTGTTTTTTTTGTGCCAAAATTCGGCACCAGATTTTTTTATTAAACAATTTTTGACGCAAATTCAATAGCCTGGAACAGTTGTTAACCTTTTTTCTTTCAGAAATGTTTAAGGTAGACAATGGGTAATGCGTTACCTCTACTCTGAAAAGAATTCAAATAGGCTAGAATCACTTGCCAACTGTATTGAAATTGAGGGGCGTGGGTTCAAATCCCAGAAGAGGCAACTTTTTTTATTTCTTTTTTTCTTTTTAACATTATTTATGTATCTCTCTGATCCCTTATGGAAGAAAAAAGTTTTTTTATTTAAATTATATAATTATTGTAGGTATTTATTTGCTAAATAATGCTAACATTTATAACAAATATGATACCAGATATGTTCAAAGTTCAATAAAATAAAAAAATATACGGTAAAAGTATTTTATATTTCGCATGATTAACCAATTTACCTTTAAAAAACATTTAGGCAAACTTTCAAAACAGCCCCTCATTGTGGTAACTTAAGGGACATTTTGAATAAGTCTTTTAATATAGGGAAATGGTCAGATTAGTGTTTAAAGTGGATGGGGTAGTGTAACATTTTTATATATATATATATATATATAAAACATTTTGTTTAGAAACAAACATTTTGCTCATGCCATTTGTTACCTGAATGTTATTATTTGTTTCTTAACAATGAGCAATAGGAAAACATTTTTCATAATGATGATATAATAGATTATTTAGAGTTTCCTCATTTCTGAAAATAAGCCCTTCTAATGGCAAAGTCTTAGTTCAGAAATATATCCATAACTCATAAACCACACGGTAAATTTTATTTAAATTTTGCATACAGGTGACCTTGAAAATATATATAACTGTCCTATGTTGTCTTATTTACAATTCCTTATAGTGCCCACTACCCATGGTCTACCTTAAAAAGTATAATCAATAAACGGAATAAATTTTAACTTTTCTTTGTAACTCTCAGCATTTTGTGTAACTGTTTAAAGTTCTCTGACGTCAATCTAGGCCATGCATTATAAATTAGGTAAAACAGGTTAAACATGTACAAAAGTGATGTATCTTTCACCTGACAGTTCTTAGAGCCAATCAGTGCTCTCAACAGCATGAATATTACATGCGGTAAGTGCTTTTGATGTGACAGGTTAAAAGAACTTTCAATACAAACAGGCAGAAAAGGAATCGGACAGAATTCAGTTTAAATTGAGGCTGTATGAATTTGGATATAACACACATGGACTTTGAGTAGTATGTTAATTTAAAATTCGAAATAATTAAAAGGTACTTTTAATGCTTTTTCTTGATATTTTAGTGAACAAAATACTTAAGTGTAAGAAATATTTTTTGAAAATTATCCTATTTAAGCGTCTTTTTAAATGACATGAAGTAAATAATTTTCAGAAGTTATTCAAACCAGACCTAACTGGAAAATAAGGCCCTTTTCATTATCTGTAAATTTTATAAGACATACAGGTGATAAGTGGGACCTATATAGGCTGCTTGGAATAGGAAGACATTTTACTTGTTCCTACACAACTTTAAACAGACATGTTGTTCCAATTTTCAGTCACTGACATACACATTCATTATAAGAAACTTGTTCACAATTTATAACTCCCAAGAGAAAATATGTTAAAGCGAAATTGCTATTTTCAAATCGAACTTAAGTTCAGCGAGGTTAATCTTATCCTGTTTCTGTGTAAGTGTAAAAAATATACTGTGTTTGTTATAAGTAACAGTCCTACTATAATAAACATTTTGAATTTTTGTTTTTGAAATAACATCTAATTTTTAAAAGGACTCAAAACTAAATTATCCGAAACAAGGCAAAATCCTGTATCACTATATGTTCTCAAAAAATAATTTGAAAACAGATTGCTGCACTCTCTTCTAATTTTCACTTTCATTTTACTATTTTGATGTGAGGTCAATCCTGTACATTTAGAAGGGATCCCTGAATCAAAGCTCATGGATTCCGTATATGAGTACCAAATATGATTTTTTTATATGAAGATATTCTGACTAGTTGTTCATATGATACTACTACTCACATTTCGGTTGTCAGTTTGAAACCTTCTGTGATCCACGTATTATACCTAATTAAAAGTCTGTGTGGGAACATATATTTTGTCATAGGAATATTGTGGTGCGAGGTTTTACGAAGTCAGATGTTGGGAAAGTATATATGCATGTATGGGATGTTTGTCTGCCCCTACGTGTCTTGACATGGTTTAACATCGTTTACACGCGTTACCATTGCATGCACTATTAAAGTAAATAAATTTCAAATTGTAGTTGTCTTAACAAATGTTCTTACATTTGAGTATCATATATAGAACTTAGACATATAGACTTTTCTGAAATAAGTTATGGCAGGGTCTTTCAGACCCTAGCAATGGCAAGAAGAGAAACACTTCACAGTTCAATGTTCATACAAAACCTTGGACATATTTTGCGTCCCAGACAAAAAGATATCCAACAGGGTTTCAGTTTTAAGAGTGTCATTTTGGATTTTGCTTCGCGTAAAAAGAGTCATAACTGGAAGATCAAATTTCATAACACTGTCTTGATGATTTTTATCCCACTCAATGTGTTCTTCAATACCTTGCGCTTACACATGTCCTTATATATTATAACCGTTTTGCACTCCTCAACACTTTCATAAACCAACCAGGTTTCAGTTTATGTGGGTACTTCATTAATTAGTTATTAATTACTATTATTTATTGGTATTCCACTCTGTCCTTTAGTCCTGCTTCGTGTCATCTATTGTGGTCCAGCTATGTGGTCTGGTGTGTCTGGATTATGTCATAGCCGGCGTTCTGTGATAGATATATATATCATTTTATATCATGTTTTCTTGTTTGTAGATCCCCATCCATCGATTCTACGAAAATATAGTACGTTGCCTGTCATCTTGTTCAAAGATTTGCGGAAAGAACCGAAAAGTTGCGATTGGATTTTTATCACTTCTCGCCTTTTTCCGTGGCTTATGAAACTAAACTTGTTTAACGACACGTAGAATTAAAATGGCAAGATTTCAAGTTAAAAAGGGGAAATTTCCAGAAAGGTATTCTATAAATGATGGGATTTGATCTAATTAATCTTCTCTTGAGTAAAATTTAAATTTCACTACAAGTGTTATGATATTTGGGACTTACAAACGGGATTTGATCTATATATAATTGACAATTTAGATGATTTAGATCTTGAAACTTTTAGTTGTTACAATATTTCTTTAAACGCAGAAATAACTATAATTGATAGATTTTATTTAAGAAATTGTAATAAGATCCTTCAGTGTTTGATATACTAAAGATTCAAATTTAATGTTAAGTGTTGACTGTTTTAATATTATTTTAGCTTCAGGTATATTTTCTGATGTTTTGAGTCATGATAGTATATTTATCCTATATTTGTGATCTAACCAAAACAAAAATAATCAGGCAGTATTTTCTTCCATAATGTAGAGCCCACTCATTCTAGTTAGTAACCCATACATTAGATTTTTTCCATTAAATATATTATTTTGTTAAGTGAAACTTTGTGACTTTCTGTATGAACAGAACACAAACATTATTTGGAATGACATTGATAACATTATACAAGTATGATGTAATAACATATGACCAAAAGTCAGCAATGCTAACAATATTTAGTCAAATGGGTATGAACAATTCACAGTAATATTATTTTTATGCAAAATATAATTTTAGACATATTTTTTTTCATATGGGTATTTTAGTTAATAGTAATCAAAGCATAAGAACACAAGTATATAAGTTCGCACCAACGTTTCATTTTCTTGGTGAATATGTATGTTCAAACAGACAAAGACATGGTTTCACTTTAATTAAATGATGCTTATTGTTCTAAGAAAAAAAATTAAGTATGGGTCATTTACTAGAATAGGCAGGCTCTATACTTAAATATTGCATAAAAAGATTTTCAAACTTTTAATATTTTTTGACAATATCTGATAATTGATCTCTATTATCATTTTGCACCAATATGTGAGGAAGATTCAATGCCTTTTCAGTAATTTTGTCTTTTTACAATGGCTATGAATGTACAGTATAATGTGCTTAATTTATTTTTTCAGGTGGTTTGATTACTCAAACATAGGAGACGTTATTGAAGGAACCAGAATAATACCTTTTAAAGTGCCATTGAAAGAGGTAAACCAAATTTGAAAGAGATGTATAGAAACCCTTTAAATGATTTAATCTTCCAAATAATTGAGGTGCTTTGCCATTTTGCAATTGGAAGTATTTCCTCATATTGATTTACATGAACTACATGTACCTTCTTTTGAACCATTATGAGTCACCATAAATAAATATTTTTTTCCTTTTAAACAATAATGACCATTAATAAATGTGTATTTAACTCAAGAGTGTCACATTCATAAATGAAAGAAGCTTTGCTGGTGGTATACTTAAGATTTCTGTTTCTAATGCAAGCAACACAGGAAAGTTACTGTACTATTAAAGCCTATCAGCAAACAAGACAGGTAATGAAATTCATTTTGAATAATAATTATGGTTTTCTAAACAGATTGAATGTTTAAAATCATACATCACTTTGTTTTAAGCTCACCTGAGCTTTTGGGACGGCAGTTTGTCCATCGTCTGTCATTTCCTACAATTTCTTGAACAATATTTCCTCCTTCAAAACTTGATGGATTTTGACCAAACTTCAGTCACAGGAATGACCTTAGGTAGAATATATGTATGTAGGTTATTATGCTCCCCGAACAATTCGGGGGAGCATATAGTCGCCGCTTGTCCGTCCGTCTTTCCGTCCGTCAGTCCGTCCGCTTTTCTTGTCCGGTACATAACTTTGAAACAACAAGAGGTATCAACATGAAACTTTGTAGGTAGATAGATCTCATTGAGAAGGTGTGCAGTGCACAAAAACCGTAACTCTGCCTTGCCTAATTTTTTAATTATTCCTCTTTGTTTATTTCACACTTTCAACTTGGTCCGGGACATAACTCTAAAAGTATAAAAGGTATCAACATGAAACGTTGTAGGTAGATAGATCTCATTGAATAGGTGTGCAGTGAACAAGAACCGTAACTCTGCCTTGCCTAATTTTAGAATTATCCCCTTTGTTAATTTTACACTTTGAACTTTGTCCGGGATATAACTCTAAAAGTATAAGAGGTATCAACATGAAACTTTGTAGGTCGATAGATCTCATTAAGTTGGTGTGCAGTGCACAAGAACCGTAAATCTGCCTTGCCTAATTTTTCAATTATTCCCCTTTGTTTATTTTACACTTTGAACATTGTCCGGACCATAACTCTTAAACTATAAGAGGTATCAACATGAAACTTTGTAGGTAGATAGATCTCATTGAGTATGTGTGCAGTGCTTAAGAATTGTAACTCTGCCTTGCCTAATTTTTGAATTGTTTCCCTTTGTTAATTTTACAATTTGAACTTTGTCCGGGAAATAACTCTAAAACTATAAGAGGTATCAATATGAAACTTTGTAGGTAGATAGATCTCGTTGAGTAGGTGTGCAGTGCGCAAGAACAGTTACTCTGCCTTGCCTAATTTTTTAATTATTCCCCTTTGTTTATTTTCACACTTTGAACTTTGTCCAGGACATAACTCTAAAACTATAAAAGGTATCAACATGAAACTTTGCAGGTAGATAGATCTCATTAAGTTGGTTTGCAGAACACAAGACTGTAACACTGTCTTGCCTACTTTTGGAGTTATTGTCCTTTGTTTATTTTGACACTTTGAACTTTGTCCGGGACATTACTCTAAAATTATAAGAGATATCAACATAAAACTTTGTAGATAGATAGGTCTCATTGGGTAGAAGTGCAGTGCTAAAGAATCATTACTCTGCCTTGCCTAATTTTGAAGTTATTGCCCTTTGTTTATTTTTACTTTTTGACTTTTGCCCGGGTAAAAAACTCTAAAACTATTAGATTTATCAACATGAAACTGTGTAGGTAGCTAGATTTCATTGGATAGAACTGCAATGCTTAAAGAACCTAAACAAAGCCTTGTTTAATTTTGAAGTTATTGCCCTTTGTTTATTTTTACACTTTGAATTTTACCTGAGACATAACTCTGAAACTATAAGAGATATCATCAGGAAACTTTATAGATAGATAGATCTCATTGAATAGAAGTGCAGTGCAAGAAACATAACTCCGCCTTGCGTAATGTTGGAGTTTTTGCTAATTTTTTTATACTTTCCTGTGTCCAGAACCTTCTCGGGGAGCATCACCCGGTTCAACCGGTTCTTGTGTTAAATAAGGGTGCATCCACCTGTTAAGGCAAACCTAGGACATCTACAGACAGTCATGCCTTGGTTAATTTTGAAGCACAGAGTGGTGACAATTTACCTCCAAGTCATCTTCATGGAGTATTAGCCAGTGAATTTTGAGCCAAAAGTAGGTCACTGTTAGGCGGCTAATAAGTACTTATATGTACTGTAACCTGAGACAATATGCAAAGTAGGTAGCCCTGTAAAGGGCTGTTCATGTCAAGCAAAGGGACTGTATTTCAAACAGTCACTACGTATGAGTGGCTTAAGCGCCCTTGCAACTTTCCTTTTGTCTCTACCTACATATACCCTGTAGAGCCACTCCCCTCAGCTTCAGTCAGGACATCAGCAGATTGACTCCATGTACCAGTTCTGGTCTTTGTTTATTATTTGCCATTTCAAATTCTTCAAATATTTTGTCAATGCTCAGTCTCTTCTCTACGATGTGCAGATACATGTACCAAAGGGAAGACAGGAGAATCACAGGTGGTTCTCAACAAGTATATAAATTGTTCGACGCATAAGAAGGTAAAGGGAGCTAAAAATAAAATTTAAATAGTAAATATTTTATAATCTATTTAGATATTAAGCAAAATATGTAATATCACCTTGTGTTCCTCTACAATAGTTTATGTTTATACATTATAACCCTGGGGTCAACATTTGTCCTTTCCCCAAGGGTCACTTAGTTTATATAGACTTACATGTACATAACACTTTTAATTAGATTTTCTTTAAAATATAATGATGCTTGGTAAAGAATGAAAAACCTGTGACCTTTCCTAGCAATTTGTCTTAGGTTCGCAACCCAGTTCCATAATGAAATGAATGAAATAGCACCGTTCTTCTGTCTGGTTTCATATCTTAGAACTGGCTGATTCCCATGTAATGAAACTTAAATTATTCTAAGGAAATGAAACGGGTTTAAAATCATATGTTTATTTCATGTGGTAAAGGGCCTCCAATGAGTTTTTTAACAGGACTGAACTATTTTACTGAGATTTTTTTACCATTTGATGTATATCTAGACAAATAGCTTACGGGCAAATTTTTGAGATCATACCCTTAACCTGATTTTATTTTGCAAACTTACCCAATAATGAAGAAATCACACAAAACATCAATAATCAACTTAATTCTGAGTATATTGCAGCAGATCATTCTGTGTTGTTTTGGTATGAAGACTTATTCTTAATAACGTACATTTCAGGGTTTCTTTGCCAATCGTGAGAGGTTTAACGATACCAGGTAAGTTAAATCCTTTGAAATACATGAACAATTTATTGTTGCTTTGTCATCCATTATATCTAATATTCTCTTTTAGAATATATCATATTACAAAATGAGATTTGCTTCATTAGAAAGGGAATGAAAATATGTATATAAAAGGAACATTATGTCTCAAAAATGCCATCAGTGTTATTGTTCTAAACCTTTTTATTTGGTGTCAAGTGTTATAGCTTCCTAAATGTAACCTCATTGGCCATATATCTGAACCATCTTTTGCATTTTTGAAAGAATTTCAGAATTGGTGATTTAAGTATTTTGTATTGAAGTCAAACTACCGTTTGTTTACTTTACATTTTGCATTTATCATACGTTTCACATTCTGAGGTCTTTCCTGTAGGAGGTAATTATCTCACGTGTTCTGAATCCATTAATTACAACGGTATAAAACATGTTTGCTCTTTCTGCAAAAGAAAAAGTATACTCATTGCTGAAGCTTTATGTGCCTTTATACATCAATAGAAAATTTAAATAGAATGTACATAATGTCTATGTTGTGAATTAACTGTACAAAAATTGAGAGAACTATGTTTATATAGGAAAATTGATGACAGTAACATTGTTTTTTAGCCCTAACCATGTTAGATAGCTTAAAGGGACTCATCCGACTTTCACTCTGGACCAAATCATTCATTATTTATATCGAAAATGTACTGACTAAATATCAAAAGATTGCAGACAAGCAGACTAATGGAAAAAATACACGAGACTTATCGAGGAAGTTGAAATTTGATCCGTATCTAATCAACCGCAATTATGTTATCAACAATACTGGTCAGTCTTTAGAGCCATCATAAGATGATGTTAAGTTTTCAAACATGATCTAGTGATGACGATGTATTAAGAATAAGCATGGTAGGTGTGTAATCCCGAAAGTGAATGCGTTTGATAAAATACCGACAAAACTATAACTTCCTCAGGTAAGTCTCGTATAATCTTTCCATTTAATCAACAGCATGTCCCCTTTGGGACATTGCACAGCGATGTTAGAGTTGATCATTTAGTGCATTTAAAATTATGCAATTGTTCTTTACAATGAATGGTAAGATTAAACGAACTATATATGTTGTTGTCAATCAAAGTAAACAATTTATATTCTCTAATCTGAATAATCATTTTATTATTACTATTCTAAGAAAAGCAAAGAAACGTGGGTTGTTACAAATATATTAGAATTTCCTTTAAAGCAGAATAGAAAGTGTCAAAATTCTTTGCACAGTAATATATATTTTATAGCATTATTAAATACACAATTGCTTTTCACTTGTTTGTATTGCCTCTTGTACGGTTTGTTTTTTGTTGTTGTTTTTTTGTTGTTTTTTGTAGAATTTTTCCAAAATGTCTCTAACCCCTTCCAGTTTTTTATTATTATTGTTAATGGCACCCCAGGTAGTCTATCTGCTGAAGTTGAAACCGCTCTAATACTGTGTTGTCCATATTTACTATTAATTTCTGCCTTAATTAAAATGTGTTTCACCAAACGTGAAATTGTTTGATGTGATACTGCTTTGTGTGTTTTTGAGTGCTGATCAATAATTTTGTTTAGTGTGTCGTAAAGGTTCAGTTCTGCGAATGTATTCTTCCTAAATTTTTACATTGCAAATGGAAGGATTTGCTTCATATCTTTGAAGCACATTGTTCTATGGTGACTGCCAGGTTTTGTGTGTATGAATAATGCCATTGTCCTCATGAAATTCAATGTCATTTAGCTCTATGATGTGTAGGGTTTGACATCTTTGTACTGTTTAAGTAAATAAATAGTTTGCATGATAATTGGAAATAAGTCGTGTTCTGTAAACTTTCAATGTATTTAAAGACAATGTCCACATCCCATATTGTGGTTATTTTTGTCAGACTAGGTCTTTCTAAATCATTGTCACTGACATCTAAATTGCTAAATATTTTTGTTAAGTTATTGATAGCAGCTCTTGCAGTTTGAAATGCAGAGTATTTTAAACCTTGTTTATGTAATGTCAAAAAGAATTCTAAAACCGAATTTTCAGAGGGCCGAATGGGATCGATACGTCACCCATAAAGAGCAAACCATTTTTATATGCCCGAAAAAATTTCGGGCATATTATGTTATACCCCCTGGCGTCCGTCCGTCCGTCCGTACGTCCGTCCGTCGTTAGCAATTTGGTTTTCGGAGCATAACTTAAGTTTCATTTGGCCCACAGTATTCAAACTTCATAGGATGATTGTCCATATTGGGTAGAAGACCCCTATTGATTTTGGGGTCACAAAGTCAAAGGTCAAGGTCACTATGACCTTAAAACTGAAAACAGTTTCCGGAGCATAACTTAAGTTCCATTTGGCCCACAGTGTTCAAACTTCATAGGATGATTGTTCATATTGGGTAGAAGACTCCTACTGATTTTGGGGTCACAAGGTCAAAGGTCAAGGTCACCATGACCTTAAAACTGAAAACAGTTTTTGGAGCATAACTTAAGTTCCATTTGGCCGACAATGTTCAAACTTCATAGGATGATTGTCCATATAAAGTAGAAGACCCCTATTGATTTTTGGGTCACAAGGTCAAAGGTCAAGGTCACTATGACCTTAAAACTGAAAACAGTTTCCGGAGCATAACTTAAGTTCTATTTGGCCCACAGTGTTCAAACTTCATAGGATGATTGTCCATATTGGGTAGAAGACCCCTATTGATTTTGGGGTCACAAGGTCAAAGGTCAAGGTCACTATGACCTTAAATCTGAAAACAGTTTCTTTAGCATAACTTAAGTTCAATTTGGCCCACAATATTCAAACTTCATAGGATGATTGTCCATATAAGATAGAAGACTCCTATTGATTTTGGGGTCACAAGGTCAAAGGTCAAGGTCACTATGACCTTAAAACTGAAAACATTTGTCGGAAAATAACTTAAGTTTCATTTGGCCCACTGTGTTTAAAATTCATAGTATGATTGTCCATATTGGGTAGAAGACCCCTATTGATTTTGGGGTCACAAGGTCAAAGGTCAAGGTCACTATTACCTTAGAACTGAAAACAGTTTCCGGGGCATAACTTAAGTTCCATTTGGACCACAATATTGAAACTTCAAAGGAGGATTGTTTTGTGAAGGAGGTAATACTTTATTTAATTCCCATGTCTTACAAATGCTTCATCTTTACTTAAAAAAAATCACTTTCGGGCATATAATGCTCCGCCTAGCGGTGCTCTTGTTTAATATCTGGTTGTATTGTCTTTTTTATCACGCCATGAGTGTAAAATGATATTGATTGCATCTGTAGTTAATCCCTGTGTTTGAGGTAATTACCTGATAACCTGATAATTAGAACTTGCCTCATCTTTTTGAGGGGATGAAGATTGTTTTGTTTGTATGGTAGCCAGGTAAAGAAAGGTGTAAGGTTGTGGCAGAAGGTAACAATTTCTGCCGATCAGTCTTGTCAGTGATGGCCAAATGGGGCAAATTTTGTCTTCTGTTATTTTCTTTAGTATTTTTGGTATTAGACTGAAATGAGAAAATATGTTGTCAAGTTCACCAACCCAATTTTATGTAAATGCATCTGTTGCAATACTGTTTGTTTCAGGTAAGTAAGAAACATATTGATCAAATTTGTTATTTAATTTGGAAGCAAAATATCTAATGATATGTTTTGGTATTTCCCTCTTATTTTGTTAAAAAATGAATTTTTCAGGGCCCGTTTAGTATCATCATTAAGTTTGCTTCCTTATTTTTAATGCCCGAAACATGGGCAGCGCTTATGAATATATTTTTAGTCAAGCACCACAGCCACACTGTCCGTGCTAAGTTGTCTAACTCTTCTCCCCCCCCCCCCTCCCCAAATTTGTTAATATAAGCACAACTGCTGCTATTGTTCGTGTTAATTCTAATGTGACAATTTGAGCTATCTTTACAAAAAGAAGTAAGAGCCAACTGACATGCTTTCAGTTATGAAGTATTGATATGTAATTCTTGTTCTGTCAAAGACCACTGACCTTTTGTTGTAATATAAGAAGTTTTGTTGATTGCTCCAGTTGCCCCATATCCTCTTTTCGAGGCATCTGAGTAGATAACGTGTGACACAAGTTTGCGACTTGATGTAAGATTACTAACCCATCAGTTTATTACAGGTTTAAAAGATCCTGCTATTTGCATAAAGTTCTTAAAGTCGCCTTTGGATGTTTTTATGTTTTTGTCCCTGAATTTTTCTTTAAGGCTTAAGAGGAGTTGCCTCTACACCAGGCTCTGCCACCACAATACTTCTTAGCAAGGATAAGATGACAAAGTTGAATAAGCTCTTCTTGTCTTCCGGGGGGTTAGTTTAATCTACATTGTTTCTTAGCACAAAATGAATCCGAGAAAAACTATATTTTGAAATGGCTGTAAAACAGATTTTTTGTGGGGTGAACTGTAAGACCTAATGAATGCATTTCTGGCATTCCTTAAATGTTTGCAAGAGTCGTCAATGTAGGCAAAACTTACATGGTCCTTTGCTCTTAAGGAGGCAAATACCAGTTTCATAACTTTCGTGAAAACTCTTGGTGAAGTGATTAGCCCCATTACTAAACATGTGAATTGATATAGTTGGTTTTCATGAGTAAATCTATGATTCTTTCTGCCTTGGAATTGAATTGGAATTGAGTTAAAAGTTTCTGAAAGATCTACAGAAGCAAAAAAAAAAACAATAACTTTTCATATAATTAATTGCGTATGGTAAAGTCTCCGTTTTAAAATGAATATTTTCTCTTAATTTTTTAAGATTGAGTATAATTCTGATTTTGCCATCTTTTTTAGGTTGTGTAAAAATATTGGAAATAAACTCCCCCTTTTAAGGTTTTTTATTTGTTTTTTTCGATAATGTTATGTACAGTCCAAAAACCATCTTTATTCTAATTAAGCATGTTAAATGACAAAGCTTTTGGTATTGATGGTTGATAAGGTGTCTTTCACAACACTACTTTATAGCCGGTTAAAGTTTTCAGTAACTATCTACAATTGTAAGTTGCTTCCAGTTTTCAATATAGTGTCGGGTTTTACCGGCAACAAAATTGTCAGTGGTATCTGTTAGTTTAATGTTCTTTACATAGCGTTTAATTCCTGTGATGCATTGTTGCTGTCAGTTGTCCCTTGCTTTGATGGTTATGTGTCTGTAATAAAATTGTTGGTTTACTGGTTTGCTTCCTTATGAATTTTTGTGATATTCTCCAGCTTTGAATCGAGCAGCTGGCTGTCAGCCTAAAAAAACCTAATTAGTACCAAATGATTTGTTATGTAGGGACTTTACTTCACCAGCAACCTTGACCTCTTTTAATTAGACACCAAACAAAAGGGAAGCTGAAGTCTTCGATTTTCTGCATATAACTCTGTATGTCGTCTATATATCCTTCAGAAGGTTCTCCTTTCTTGCTTAATTTGTATTGGGTATTGTAAACACCATCATTTTAAAGGTGTCTCCAAGCAGTTCCTTCACGCTATCTCTTTTTAACTCGAATTTCACTGGCAAGATATCTAGTGCATTGATTGGCAGCACAAGGCAATCTGACATGTTTGGCATTGACCGATACCAATTTTGATGATACCGGAAGGTCTCGCCGAAGACAATGTTCCGCTGTAATGGTTTTTTGCAAATTTGCCACATTTGCTGGTCTTTTATGCTTTTAACTAAGCTCTTTCATTTGTTTTTCAGCCGGGTCTGATCTTATCGACCTAAAAACTACATTGGGTCATCTCTCACATACTTTATCTTTTGATATTATGATACAATAATTGATCTATGATAGCCGTTACATGCTGCGCAACTTACATCTTTTAGGAAAGCTCTAAATACTCATGTCCTTTTCTTTGTATTTTCCTGATAACAATCCCAGCAAACACATTACCTCGTTCTATCAATGTTGCTCAGACGTTAGAATGCGACGTTAGATATACGTTGGTATTTAGTTATATATAGAAGTTTTTAAGACGTCAGAATCCAACGTCAATCCAACGTCATAAATGACAAATCCAACTTCTATTCAACGTATATACAACTGCTTTCCAACCCATTCCCAACGTGAATCCAACCAATGCCCAACACGATTCCAACAAGTCACCGACGTTACACCAACTAGTTACAAAATTCTTTAAATCTGACCTTTTTACATTAAATAATCCCTAAAGAGAAAATACTAAACTTTCCATACTTGAAAATTATTTTTATATTTTGAAAAAAGTAATCATAAAACAATAAAACAAAATGAAAAAAAAAAATTCTGATTTGTCATTTCATGAATACTTATAAATAAAACAAATATACAACACACATGTGTAGCATTAAAAAGGGACTCACTTTTAGTCTTTTAAAGTGATAGTTATATAAAGTTAGATATTTATAAGAAAAATAGAAGGTGTGCAAATTTAATCGTAAGCAATTTCCCGTAATTATTATAATTTTAACGGTTCATTTTGAAATAACAAAAATCAGAAATTACAGTAAATAACAAAATCGAAATCCATCTATTACCTTTGATGTCCTTATCATTCATTCGAATATATCCAAATGTTGTTTCCTGTCGACTGTTTTTCATTTTACATTTTTATCAGCAAATTGTCATCAAACATTAAGGCCAGTCTATCAATAAAAACAAATCCTATGATTTACAAAAAGTATTTACATTAACAATATGAATTGATAGATCCCTACTTTGACCTTTTACATGTATTTGAATAACAATAAATTAAATATCAAATACTGACACGTGTTCCTTCGTTAACAATTACGATGTGGTGAAATTCCTATCCGATAAACCGAATAAGACAGATTAGGATCATGTAGGAGACTTGGCATAAAATGACAACAACACAAATAAAACAAAAGGGTTGACAGAATTTCATACAGTTTATATATCATTTGAATCTAAAAGTACGAGTTAAATGAAGGCGAATCAGAATACGTTAACTGGTTTAGAAATGAGATAAAAGAATTTCGTACTGTAATTAATAATTTTTCAACTATCATTTTTTATACTTTGCATGCAATTAGTTTGATACTATGCCAGTTGTCTTCTATAATGATGAGGTGCGAAGAAACACGTTGTCTTTGTTTGAATTTGAAAACAAGTCGTTGCTGTTGTTGTTGTAGCATCCACGTTTTGAAATTCTTCAAAATATGAAAAACAAGATCAACAAGGAAAGGCGGCGTTCAATGAACGCAACCCCCATATGACCCAGCAACAAGAACCAATGGCAAGGAGCCCAGGCGGACCCCAAACATAAAAAGGACAGGGCCACGACACGTTAATCATTAAATGATAAATAATTTGTAACTGATTAGGAATTCAAAGAAAATAATAATAGGCCCACAAAGGGGAAGGGACAGGAGACCGGGGAAGGGGGGGGGGGGTTAATCAAAGAAATAAAAACTAGAGGCAATGGGGAAGATACTTACCGTAGACGAGAAAACAACAAGGGACACAAGCAAAAGTGTGTCACCAAAACAGTATGAAACAACATAGACATACATCTGAGGAACACAGTGGGGCGCCGCCTTGGAACGGTCAGCAGCATAATAATGACTGCTGGGGAGTTTAAACCGGTTAATGGTGCACCAAACCTCGCTCTTAGCCCCACCATGTTCCTATAAACGAGACAGTGTAAATAAAATGAATCCCCGCCAAGTGAAATTCTAACAGTTGTCATGGTTACAAAAGGTTAAATAAGTAAAACACTAAAATGATCATGTAGAAACATATAAAAGTAAACCCAATGACCATAACAAAAGTACTCTTTTTATTTATTTGAAATACTGATCTTGTTCTTTTTTATGGTAGTATAACAAAAATATAATGAAAACTACAATAGAAATGAAAATAGATAAATAACAAAATTCGACTGATTATCTTGAACTAAAATTAGATCCACCTATCGGGTTAATAAATTAGAACAAAGAAAATTGGTTTTAGTATCAGGATTAGCATTGCAGATATAAAAGCTAACTAATATAACATAAATTTAAAGAACAAATATTTATGGTTATTATAAGGTGTTCTTCTCACTTTTTTTTCTCTCTCTCTCTCTCTCTCTCTCTCTCTCTCTCTCCCTCTCTCTCTCTCTCTCTCTCTCTCTCTCTCTCAGTTTCTTCATGTTTATATAATATTTGTTACCATTTTAACCAAGCAATCATAATATATTGAACATTTATACTATGTTCAATACACTTGACAAGTTTACTTTGTATTTCATTTTTAATTGTTTGACTCTTTTATTAAAGGTTTACACCAGCAACGCTTATTGAGAGCCTCAGAAGCAAAAGACTGACACTGGGCCTTGTTATAGACCTTACATTTACCACACGCTACTATGATAAAGAAGAATTTACAGAAAATGATGTCCAATATGAGAAAATAAAATTAAGAGGTCATAAGACACCAAGTGAAGCTAAGGTGGATAAGTATGTATTTTGCTTTTTTTATGGGGAGGTCTTTTCTCAGACTTTTTACACATCAGTAACTTGACCTTTTTGAAATATGCATAAGTTTGTAAATATACCTTTGTAAAATGCAAATGTAGTTGTGGCATAAGTTTCTTATTGATACATGTTTAGATAAGTTTTTTAAGGAAAAAAATAGAGGTATTGTTGCAGTCATGTCGGCGTTCCGTTGCCGTCTGCAAACTTTAACCTAAATCACAACTTTTTAAGTTCTTGTTAGTTTTCTTATCCCTTAAAAGATATGATTTACAATGTATCATTGTTACTGACACACAATAAGGGTAAAATTTCTCTCTTTATAGCTGAATATTTTGTTTAAGACTAACACCCATTGTCAATATTTCAAGTCATGGGTACACTGGCAGGTTTAAAGGTCAGGAGAGACAATTCATGGTTGACGTAGAGGTCACTGTAGTAAAGAACATAATTTTGTAACAGTATATATATGCAAAACAAGTTTTCAACAGGACATTGATAACTGTAAAATATAAATTGCTTCTGTTTACCATGTATAAGGTATCTGTTTTCCTTGATTTTTGCTGCTGGGAGAAACACATTTGAGCATTTGTTTTTCTTTATTATAATAAGAATTGATATTCAACTTTTCAGATTTATTGATGTAGTTAACAATTTTCTGATGTTTTCTGAAAACGGTAGGTATAAACATATTGATGCATACATTATCTTAACACTAGAACACTCGGCTTGTACGAGATAATACTTAAAATAATTATCTGGAAACAAGGAGTTATAGAGCCATTGCTCAAAGAAATAGATTTACCAAGTTACCTCTTTAATGAAGATTTAAACAAAGTAATTACTGAAGGAGAAGGAGAGAACACATACATGTTTAAAATAAAGTTGAACAATGACATTTTAATCTAAGCACTTTCTATGATGATGGTGTATCTAAGCTTGGACAGCATATCAATCATGTTTGATCCGGATCCAATTTCTTTAAATAAACAATGTACAGCTATATGTTGATAAAAATGACCTTTCCACATTGCAAAACTACCATAGTAAGTGAGATTGTTTACATGGAAAAAAAAGAAGTTAGTTTACAGTTTTCTTAATCATATGTAGCTTATCAATTTTTAGCTCACCTGAGCTGACGATGCTTGTCAAGGTAATTGCTGGGATGAGTTCGAACATTGGCCATCTCAGAGGAAAATCTAGGACACAGGAGCTAAAAATAGAAAAAATCTTATTAACACTCTAGTGACTTATGATTTCAAGGTCAAGTTTGAATATTGGTTACATGGGATCAAAAACGCGGTCAAATCGCCCAAATATGAATGAACATTCTTAATACTCTAGTGGTCACATAATTTATTTGATAAACAAAACAAAATAGAGAAAAACAAGACTAACAAGGAAAGGCGGCGTTGAATGAACGCAACACTTGACTCAATCATCATCAAACTCTGTCAGGATGCTTGTCAAGATAATTGCTCGGATGAGTCATGGGTCATCACGGATCATCTCGGATAAAAAAAACTATAGGAGCTAAAAATAGAAAAATATTGTTAACACTGTAGTGGTTTTTGTCTTGATCCAAATGTCCTGGAAATTGGTTAGAATGTTTGTTTCGATGATATCTATGTCAAGTTATAATATGGGTCACATGGGCTCAAAAACTATGTCACACTGCTCAAAGATGGTAAAATATGATAAACAAGATCAACAAGGAAAGGCGGCGTTCAATGAACGCAACCCCCATATGACCCAGCAACAAGAACCTTGTTATCACTCTAGTGGTCACATTTTTGAATCAGCTGATGAAACTTGGTTAGGATGGTTGTCTAGGTTATTGATCGGATGAGTAAAAGGGGTCAGGTGAGCGATCTAGGACCTCTTGTTAAATGCCCCGCCATAGAAATGGCCTTAGCATATAGTGTTACCCTGTTCCGTCATTCCTTCATCAGTTTCCGTTCATTATCTTAGTAACGTTTGCAAACAATTAACTCAAATTTGACATATGGATATATCAGATGAAAATACTGGTTAAGTTCAAATCTGTCATGGTCCGATGAATTTTGAATGTAACTTATGCCCCTGAATGAAATTTTCAGTTTCCGCTCGTTATCTCCCCAATGGTATTACAAATTCAATTCAAATTTGACGTATGGATATGTTTACGAAATAAGTTCGAATAAGGTCATTGTTCAATTATTTTAAGCAGTGCTATGCCCCTTTCAATTTGAAAATAATAAGACATTTTCAGTTTCCAATTATTACCTCCCCAACGGTATTTACATTGAACTCAAATTGACATATGGTTTTGTAAAAGTAATTAACTCCAACTTAAGAAATGTATATGCCATAGTAATGACTTGTGTAGGTCAAGTTTTAATATTGTCATGGTTCGATGTTTTTGACAGAGTAATATCCCTTATCTTGAAAACTAAGAAGTTTTCAGTTTCTGGTCATTTTCCCCGAACAGTTTTACACATTCAACTCGAATTTAATTTATCGATATGTCATAGGAATGTGCATGTCAAGATCAAATTTGGTCATTGTTTACCAAACCATGGTAATTTAGGGATTCTGTTGGGAATTCTGTTTTTTCTCTCTTTGATGATTTTTGACAGAGTCACCCCTCTTGAACTTTGAAAAAAATAAGACATTTTCAGTTTTTATTCATTATCTTCCACACAGCTGTAAACATTCAACTAAAATATATAGACATATCGTCAAAAGAATGGGCAGGTCGAGTTCGAATTTGATCATGGTTCAATGCTTTGGTAAAGAAATGCCCCTCAAACTTTGAAAAAAAGGAAATTTTCAGTTTCCTTTCATTATCTCCTAAACAGTTGTACCTATTCAACTCAAATTAGACATATGGCTATGTCATAAGAATACATTGAATAGTTTTAAGGGATTTGAACGAAACAATAGTTTGTATAAATAAATTGGGATATAGTATAACATTTGAAATTGTGGCTGCATGTGACGACACATTTCTAGTTTTGTAATTCACAGATACTTACATTGGTGTTCACTGCACACATGGTGTAAACAGGACCGGATATATGGTTTGCAGGTAAGCGTTTTACACATACTCGTAGAAGACTGTTGTGAACAGTAGTATTTTTCTTTGTCATGATGCGAGAGTCATATCAATGCTTTATGTCTTGTCAGATAAATGCTGCAAGTCTAGTGAGATAAATGCTCTATATCTAGTCACAATAATGCTTTATAACTAGTCAGATAATTGCTTGTCATATTGATGCTTTATGTCAAGTCAGATAAACGTTACATGTCTAGTCAGATTAATGCGTTATGTCTAGTCAGATTAATGCTTTATGTCTTACCAGATTAATGTTTTATATCTAGTTATATTAGTGGTCTATGTTTTGCCAGATTAATGCTCAATGGTAAGTCATATCAATGCAAAATGTCTAGTCATATTAATGCTTTTTGTCTTCTCAGATTAATGTTCAGTGTCTAGTTTTATCAATACTCTATGTCTAGTTATATCAGTGCTCTATGTCTAGTCAAAGCAATGCACTATGTATCGACATTTCAATGCCAATTTATCTAGTGGGATCAATGCTCCTAATAATATCTACTAATAATTATACTCTATTGTTAGTTAAATAAATGTCCCATGTGTAGTAATATCAATGATTTCTGTCTAGTCATACCAAAAAAATCTCTATCTTTAACTATGACCATATATAAGAGAATTATTCATCTTACTGTCGGCTATTTGATTTACCAAGGTGTAACAAAAAATGAACACACCATAGTCACATGGGAACTTCTTTTATTACATCCAGGGGCCATATAGACAAAAACATCACTAAAAAATTATTTAGAGAACAACAAATAAAATATTAAGACGCTGTAGACAGTTCTGAATGGCTTAAGTGATTACTTTGCAAACAGAGTGTTTTTAAACCACCCATCATTAGTTGATTGATTTTAATGCTGCATAAATATTGGCCATGTTTCGTAATTTGGTTCTCTGCAACTTTAATCAAACTGTAAAATTTCCATTCTAGAAGCTTAAACCTTGATCCTTAAACACAGAAAACATCTCCACAAGGGCTTGGATTTGACATATAACATTGTGGCAGTGATCTGTGAATGGCTCTATTTCCCAGTAATTTCTATGGTCAAATCCTTTGCAGAGATGAGATGTTGACATGATAGTGACCTAGGCTTTCGATGTAAATTGTCTTGAATAAGAAAAATATCATAATAATAACAGTGTTATTTATAAACAGGTTTTGCATTATGTTTGGATAGCATGTTGATTATGAGATATATTGATTAAAATGACAACTGTCTGTTTCTTAGAAAGGGACAACAACCAGGATAAGCAGCGATGTCTAAAGCTGTATTTCATTACCAGGCATAGTTTTTATGAGAGACATTTATACATGTACTTAGTTGCTGCTTCCCATTATGTCATTATGGTCCTCAAATCCATAAAGACTTTCCAACTTCAAGTCATGATGAACATCTCCAGGCTATTATTGCATAATGGCGACCAGAAAACAAGTACATGTATTAACTTCTCAATTAACTTCCAAACAATTATAGTGTTTTAATGTTATTTTATCATTTGCAGTTATATGGTGAAGCATCTAAAAAAGAAGGCAACAGAATCATTACTTGGTAAAGTACATGTAACAGTTGAATGAATGAAACAATTGTTTATAAATACAATTTAAAAAATCAGAGCTGTATACATGTTAATTCAATTGACACTCCTATGACTGTTTATCACATGATATCACATTGTTTCCTATAGACTATAATCATTATGTATTTGTTTATTTGCCAAGCATGTTATGTCACTTTCTTTTAATTAGCATTTTTCTGAACTTTTTGCGGAATTAAATCTAACTTTAATCGAAAATGTTTGCTAAAGCAACATTTAAGGTAAAAATCAAAAGGGAAAGCAAATAGCTTTTAGACTTCTTGAAGTATTGTAAATTAGTGCAGTTGTTAATAATTGGAATATATCAACATTTATTTATGACTGTGATAAAACTATTTTTAGTTAAAGGGAATTAACTGTCAGAACTATCACAGACTGGTAAATAGTAATATAGTAATCAAAGTACTTATAAGTATTCTTGTAAGGCATTTTTAAAATTCTGAATGAATTATTATTCATTGATCCAATCAGTCATTAAAATTACTTATTCTTACAAATGTACAATGTTGTAAAGTATTTACATTGTTTTGAATTGCATGTGAATACATTCATTTTGTATTTTAGCATATGAGAAAGCGAGAGGTTATCCAGTAGAAAGAATCAACTACATCAATGATTTGAAGAGAACAGCAAAGTAAGTTTATAAGAGTGAATCACCACTTAATGAAGACATTTAACATAATGTTGCCTATGAAACTCGAATGTTGTGATTATGAGATGTGTGTATAAGACATGTTGTGATTGGCAAAGTTCATTCAAGTGATAAATGTCAAGACAGTTTTAGCATGTTTGTTTTGAAGAAACAGTCAAACTATTATGATTGTTGTGGCATCGTCATAGTTGTTGTGGTGCAAAATCTTTTATGTATTCCATTTTTCAAACATTTCAAAAAGTAATAACTTAAAATTGAAATACTTGCTTTTCGTGACAAGGTGCAGTTGTTAGGCAAGGGTCATAGTTCTGAAAGCCATATTTATGGAGTTATGCCTCTTTTTTAGCTCGACTATTCGATAAGAATAATTAAAGCTATTGTAGTCACCCGAGCAATGGCGTCGGCGTCTGCGTCCGCGTCGGCGTAACTACTTATGTTAAAGTTTTTGTAATACCTCAAATATTTTCAAAGTCCATTGACATATGGCTTTGAAACTTTGCACACTTGTTCACCATCATGACCCCAACCTGTAGACAGGAGGAGGTAACTCTATCAAGCATTTTGACAGAATTATGCCCTTTTTTCGACTTAGGATTGACGTTTAAGTTTTTGTAATACCTCAAATATTTTCAAAGTCCATTGACATATGGCTTTGAAACTTTGCACACTTGTTCACCATCATGACCCCAACCTGTAGACAGGAGGAAGTAATTATATCAAGCATTTTGACAGAATTATGCCCCTTTTTCGACTTAAAATTTACATTTAAGTTTTTTTAATACCTCAAATATTTTCAAAGTCCATTGACATATGGCTTTGAAACTTTGCACACTTGTTCACCATTGTGACCCAACCTGTAGACAGGAGGATGTAACTCTATCAAGCATTTTGACAGAGTTATGCCCCTATTTCGACTTAGAATTTACATAAAGTTTTTGTAATACCTCAAATATTTTCAAAGTCCATTGACATAAGGCTTTAAAACTTTGCACACTTGTTCACCATCATAACACCGACCTGTAGACAGGAGGATGTAACTCTATCAAGCATTTTGACAGAGTTATGCCCCTATTTCGACTTAGAATTTACATAAAGTTTTTGTAATACCTCAGATATTTTCAAAGTCCATTGACATAAGGCTTTGAAACTTTGCACACTTGTTCACCATCATAACACCGACCTGTAGACAGGAGGAGGTAACTCTATCAAGCATTTTGACAGAATTATGCCCCCTTTTCGACTTGGAATTTGCATTAAAGTTTTGTAATACCTCAAATATTTTCCAAGTCAGTTGACATATGGCTTTGAAACTTTGTACACTTGTTCACCATCATGACCCCAACCTGTAAACAAGAGGAGGTGACTCTTTCAAGCATTTTGACAGATTTTGCCTTTTTTTCGACTTAAAATTTACGTTAAAATTTTTGTAATACCTCACATATTGGCAAAGTCCATTGACATATGGCTTTGAAACTCTGCACACTTATTTACCATCATGACCCCAACCTGTAGACAGGAGGATGTAACTCTATTAAGCATTTTGACAGAATTATGCCCCTTTTTCGACTTAGAATTTACATTAAAGTTTTTGTAATAGCTCAAATATTTTCAAAGTTCATTCCCATATGGCTTTAAAACTTTGCACACTTGCTCACCATCATGATCCCAACCTGTAGACAGGAGGAGGTAACTCTATCAAGCATTTTGACAGAATTATGCTCCTTTTTCGACTTAGAATTTACGTTTAAGGTTTTGTAATACATTTACGTTCAAGTTTTTGTAATACACATGTACCTTAAATATTATCAAAGTTCATTGACATACGGCTTTAAAACATGTTGAAAATTTATACTCTTCTTTGAAAGCATGATAGGACTCTCTGTAATGCCTGTAACTGTTATATGGATTGAAAGAAGAATATTGCCTTTTCCTTTACTGTGAAAATTTTACCTTTAAATCAAGGCTTTTTTTCAAGCACTGAGAATAGTCGAGCGTTGCTGTCCTACCGACAGCTCTTGTTACCTAAACTTTTTATGTTTACACCGTATGCAATGCTCTTGTTCCTCTGTTGTAACTGTTGTGCAGAGAACTTGTCCAGTTTTTACCTCTCCTAAGCTAGCTCAGGGTGTTGAATGTCCGTCGTCGTCGTCGATTGTCCTGTTGTTCGTCCACATTTGTTCGTTAACACTCTAGTGGTCACATCTTTGCCTCAATCATCATCAATCCTTGTAAGGATGCGTGTATGGGTAATTATTCGGGTGAGTTTCATATGGGTCATCTCGGATGAAAAACTAGGTCACAGGAGCTAAAAATAGTTAAATCTTGTAAACACTAGTGGCTTCTGTTGCTTTCCAAATATCCTTGAAATTGGTCTGAAAGTTTGTTTTAATGATTTCTAGGTCAAGTTTGAATATAAGTTACCTGTGGTCAAAAACTAGGTCACACCAAATATGGAGAAACCTTGTAACCACTTTAGTGGTCACAATTTTGACTCAATCATCATCGAACTTAGTCAGGATGCTAACCTAATGTAATTGCTAGAGTGAGTTTGAACATTGGTCATTTCGGATGAAAAACTATGTCACAGGAGCTAAAAATATAAAAGTCTTGTTAACACTCTAGTGGCTACTGTTTTGATCCAGATATCCTGGAAATAGGTCTGAAAGTTTGTTTTAATGATTTCTATGTCAAGTTTGAATATGGGTTACCTGAGGTCAAAATCTAGGTTACACCGCCCAGATATGGAAAAACCTTGTTACCTCTCTAGTGGTCACAATTAGGACTCAATCATCATCAAATTTTGTCAGAATTTTTTTTCTAGGTAATTGTTCGAGTGAATTCGAACAGTGATCATTTCAGATGAAAATCTAGGTCATAGAAGCTAGAAATGAAAAAAAAATGTTTACACACTTATGGCTTCTATTTTCATCAAAATTACCCGGACATTGGTCTGAAAGTATGTTATGACGATTTCTAGGTCTAGGTCTAGTTCGAATATGGGCCACCTTGGGTCAAAAACAAGGTCACATTGTCCAAATATCGAAAACCCCTTTTTACACTCTAGTGGTCACAATTTTGACCCAATTGTAATCAAACAATATCAGGATGATTTTCTAGTTTATTGCTCGGAGGAGTTCCAACATAGGTCATCTCTGATGAAAAACTTGGTCACAGAAGCTAAAAGTAGAAAACTCTTGTTAACTTTCGTGGCTACTGTTGTTATCCAAATATCCAGGGAATTGGTCTGCAAATTTGTTTTAATGATTTGCTCAGATGTGTTCCATTGGTCAGGTGAGCGATCTAGGGCCATCTTTGCCCTTTTGTTGTATTGAATGAATCAAATGATTCACAATAGAGAATGAACTGTTCATAATCTTTATGATGATGAACAGCATTTATTTGGATAAAAATGCTATAATATTTGTGTCTTTAAACTCTAGTGATATGTACCCTAGTGATATGTACGCTTGTGATATGTACCCTAGTGATATGTACTCTAGTGATATGTACTCTAGTGGTATGTTCTCTTGTGATATGTACTCTAATGATATGTTCTCTTGTGATATGTATTCCAGTGATATGTACTCTAGAGATATGTACTCTAGAAATATGTTCTTCAGTGGTATGTTATCCAGTGATATAAACTCTAGAGATATGTACTCTTGAGGTATTATCTAGAGTAGTATGTAATCCAGTGGTATGATCTCTAGCGATTTGTACTCTAATGATAGACCGCCACCGTGGCCGAGGGGTTTCTAATCCAGTTACCTCTCTTTCATGGGTTCGAACCCCGGGATATGCTTTGGTAGTTTATCACGGAGGAAGGTAGTCTAGTACTGGTGTAACTCTCCCGAACGATGGTTAGGAAAGTACCCGCCTATATGACTGAAATACTGTTGGGAAAAGGCTTAAAATGAGACAAACAAACAAACTCTAGTGATATGTCTCTAAAGATATGTACCAATTTATGTACTCTAGAAATATTTTGTCTAGTTATATGTTCCCTAGAGATATGTACTCTAGTGGGGTATGTACTCTAGAGATATGTACTTTAGTGATATGTTTTCTAAAGATATGTACTCCAGTAATATGTACTCTAGAGATATGCACTCCAGTGGTATGTTCTCCAGTAATATAAACTCTAGAGATATGTACTCTCAAGATATGTATTCTAGTGATATGTCCTGTAGAGAAATGTACTCTCGAGTGATATGTACTCTAGAGATATGCATTTAAGTCATATGATCTTTAGCGATATGTAATCTAGAGATATGTATTCTAGTGATATGTTGCCTAGAGATCTGTACTCGAGTGGTATGTGTACTCTAGAGATATGTATTCTAGTGATATGTTCTCTAGAAATATCTATTCTAGAGGTATGTTATCTAGAGATATGTAATCTATAGATATGTAATGTAGAGATATGTTCTCTAGTGGTTTGTACTCCAGTGTTATGAACTCTAGAGATATGTACTCTAGATATATGTATTCTAGTGAATTGTTTTCTAGAGCTATTTTCTCCAGTGGTATGCACTCTAAGGATATTTATTCTAGAGATATGTATTCTAGTGATTAGTTCTCTAGAACTTTCTACTCTAGTGGTATGTTCTCTAGAGATAGATATGTACTCCAGTGGTATGTACTCTAATAAAAGTGTGTAGGCATTGCATAGAAAATTTTGAAAATGATTAATACATACAAGTTTATTTGTTTTACCTTTAAACTTTGTGTTTGAATGTTTTATGACTTGTTTGATTTTTTTTATACAGGGAACCTGTACCAGAAGAAGATCAGAAACGAGAAGAACAAGAGGAGCTAGAGAGAAAATAGAAAAGTCTCTTAAAATGTCAGCACAGAAAAATCATTAGAATAATCAGAGTGATGAAGCAGGAGATTTGATATACATCTATTTAAAGAAGATCTTGAACATTCATAATTATGATCAAAATAAGACTAAAAGCCATATGTTAATACTTTAAAATTACCTGTAAGTTTTCAAAATTAATTCTTTTATAAAACTTTAATAATTGTAAAGATTCTTATAATTATGTCTCTTGAATTGTTACATTTCATATGCTTCAGAAGTATTATTAAAGCTTCACACAGTGATCGAGACTAGTTAAAGTAATATACATGGCAAACAGTTTTGTGTTTGTTTCTGAATTTTTCATTCAATGTTCTATTTATGATCTTGAAATGAATACATTAAGCAGTCCCTGGAACAAAGAAAATCTCTTGTATATATCTAGTGTGAAAATGGTTGGTTTCCTAACATGACCCACTTGGCTGGTGTTAAAATTTATTTTCCGTGCTAAGTATCGCACTGAACAAGATTAAAGTACATGTCAAGTTAGTAACTCAAACCACAGGTTGCAGTATCAGTGTTTGGACATCTATCAAACCTTACCCCTGGACCCCTGCTTCAACCCTGGAAAAATAATTCAACACTCTAAGGCTTACTATAAGATAGCAAATACAAAACCACCGATAAAATTATTTTTAAAAATCCACAATCAAAATTACGTAATTCTTTCTATTACTATAATTTTGATAGTGGAAAAAATAATTTTATCCTAGGAGCATTATTTAGACAAACCTTTGTATAGGCTACTTTATCACGTTACATACAAAATATCAAGGCTATAGGCTTGTGGATTTTGACCAGAGGTTTTTAAAGATTTCACATATAACTTTATATAAAATTGAGGAGGCCCCTGGCAGGGCCCCTTCTGACCCTAGGGTCATAATTTATATTTTGAACAATCTTTGTAGAGGACCACTAGATGATGTAACATACCAAATATGAAAGCTTTAGGTTTTTGACAAGAATACTTTTGATAATTTTTTCTTTTAGATTGATAATCCCCCTGTCAGGACCCCTTTTCATCATATGGGGCATAATTTGAACACTCTTTGTAAAGGACCACTGGATCATGTAACATACCAAATATCAAGGCTCTACGCCTTGACAAGAAGATTTTCCCTATATAACTTTATATAAGACAGACAAGGCCCTTGGCAGGGTCCTTTTTGACCACTTTTTGTAGAAGACCGCTAGATGATGTTACATACCAAATATCAAAGTTGTAGGTCTTGTGGTTTTTGACAAGAATAATTTAAAAGACTTAATTCAAAAATCGAGTAACCCCCATGGATGGGCCCCATTTGACCCTAGGGGCATAATTTGAACACTCTTTGTAGAGGACCATTAGATCATGTTACATACCAAATATCAAGGCCTTGTGAATTTTGACAAGAAGATTTTTTAAGATTTCCCTGTATAACTTTATATAAAACTGTAGAGCCCCCTGGCTGGCCCCTTTTAAACCTAGGGTCAAAATTTGAACAACCTTTGTAGACGACCCCTAGATTATGTTACATACCAAAAATAAAGACCTACACCTGGTTTTTGACAATAATAATTTTTAAGATTTTGTTTAAAAAACTCTTGGTTGCCTTGGCAACAAGAGTTCTTCAAGTAATTTAATTCTTCTAAAAACTTTCGATTTTCTCAACACGCGTTTAATGACCAAACAAATTTTCCTCAAGGACACAGACTCAATTATAATTCTATGTTCACAAGAAACATAAGAAAAGAAAAGACATACACGAAATGAATAATGACATTAACACAAGATCTAACAGCACATGTCTTGGGGATTTCCGCCTTTCAAGTGGTCTTATTTAAAAAGTCGGAAAAGAGACAATAAGGGTTTAGAAAAACATATTAAAATTGATTGGTCCATATTTGTCACATTTTCCATTAGTGCATCAAATATTGATAACAAGAAGGGAACTGTATTATTTGAATGTTGTTATTTAAAAAATGTTCCCTATGCAAATTGTTGAAAAAGTTGTGAGTGATTTGGTATAAGCATTTATATGATTTATAACGATATATAATATTTTGTTATTCAACAACTTATCAAATATAAATATATGATATTAGACCATGTATTTAACATTCACAAACATCATTAATAAACGGTTATAAGCCGTTTTAATACATAAACGTTCGTAATTTTGCACTGTCATTCAGCGCTGTAATCATTAAAGCATGAAACTGACTATGGTTTCCACATCATTAAAACGCTTAACCACACATTTTTACAATACAGATAAAAAAACTGAGTAAAACGGCAGTAAAAAGGGATAATTTAAAATCAATTAAATTAACTAAAAAATTTGCCATACAACTTCCAAATGAGTTATATTTATTGAAAAAACAAAAGGGAAAAACCAAAAATTTTTCCCTTTTTAAGTTCGGGAATTTTTAAACGACCACCCGTTTGTGATTTTTTACTTTTTTGGAAGCGAAACCCCCTCTAGATTTCCCCGTTCCCTTTTGGTTTTTTACATGCCCTTTTGTCGTCCTTTGGGGGACTGCCTAGGTTATGTCTAGGTCTTTTATGGTTCAAAAAAAAGACTTTATTTTCAGAAATCAAACATTTTAAAAATTTAAAAGGGAAGGGGCAGGGTTTCCCTTATCTTTTGCTGATGTTGCTTTTTGTATTTCCTCGCTTATACATTCTGCCCAAATTTAAATTCAATCGTTTAAAAACTTTTAAAAATTTAAAATTAAAAGAAAAAAACCGAGAATTTTTCAGGGGCCTCTTGTGAAAATTTTCCCCCATCCCCGTATCTTAATGTTTTTTTTAATGCCTAAGGGAATTTTATTTTTCTCTTGGGTTTTGATTTTAAACCGCACATAGAAAACGCGAAAAATAAAGGGATAAAGGGCTATTTTTTCCCCCAATAATGTCTTGGAAAGATTGTTCCCCCATTTTTTAGAAACCCAATAAAAATAACCCAAATCCAGCGGGGGGGCAATAACCTCAAAAACCCTTTAAACCCCCAAGAGATTTTTATTTTCTGCTCAAAAAAAAACTAGTAACAAATAAAATTTTCTTGCGGTACTGAAGCTTTTTGGGGGCCTTTAATTTTATTTTTGTCTAGTATTTTTTATTTGCACTTTAGGGAAAAAGTTGTTAAGATACCAGGGCCTTTTCATAGGTACATTTTTTTGATTTTTTGGAAAAATGTATCTTTATAAATCTTCAGTGAAACTGTTAATTTTTGCATTTTACGAAAAAAAGGTGGGAAAAAAATGAGTTTCGCATGTATGTTTTAACTCAATACCAAAAACTTCTTCTTTAGCAAAATTTAGAGTGTATAGTAACTTTTTTGGAATTGCACTAAACATGTTGACACTGATTACCCAAAAAAAAAATTTTTTTTTGTCGTTTAAAAATAATTTAAAAAACATAATTTTTACTGACAAACCCGCTCCCAAAACACATTGATGGTTTTAAAAGAAATGTATAAAGGGGAAACCCATTAATAAATTTAATCTTTAAAATCCCCCTTTTTAAAAAACCCACTTTTTTTAAACTTTCTTAAAAAACAAAGTTTCCAGTTTTGAGAGGGCCCACCCCTTTTTAAACAGGGCCTGAACAATTTTCTTTTTCCCATTATTTTTTTAAAAGGGTTTCGAGTAATTAAATTTTGTTTTATGTTCAAAAACTGAATTTTAAGATTTTTCTTTTTGGGTTTCTTTTTATTTTTTATGCCCCAAGAAACTGTAAAATTTTAATTAAAATTATTTGCCCCAATATCTTTTAAACATTTTTATGGCTTATTTCTGTATTATTTCATTTCTATAGACCTCTTTTCTGCATTAGTTCATCTTGCAACGCTTATTACTGATAAGTGTTGTCAAGACATTTTAAAAGCCATGTTTGTCATGTACTGATTAGTAGAGCGACATTTTTTCTACGTATTGCAGACAAAGTCGGATATTTTATATGTGTTGGTTTAACAAAGCATACATATCATAGTAGCAAACTCAGCACATATTTGCAAAAATATCTAGATATCGTTGAGTATATATAAGTATATTATGTTTTGTATAATATGTAATATAGCATCTTCTATAAGTAGAACCATGTTCGGTGCACTTAAATCAATTGCTTTAGTTTGACTAAGTGAATAAGAATAGTAAGTTGAGCATTATGGAGATTATCAGATTGACAGCTAGCAGACATTTTATTCTATACACGTTTGTTTTACGTTCATGGCAGGTTATTATACTAGGATATCAACCTCATCAGACAATAATTGAAAAAAAAACAATTAAAGATTTTAAGAACAATAACTTCTTGTTGATAAACGTCTTACATCGTTCTCGGGTTCTATTCGGGTTGTCTTATTTTCATAAATGAGAATGTACCAATAATCAAAACATGAAGGCATACATGTCCATTGCATTTAGAATGTAAAAAAAAGCAAAAGAAAAAGCATTTGTATGAATGATTTTTTCGTCGAATCCAAACAAAATTTTATAAAAATTAATGCCCTTTGGGGTTTTCCCCTTTATGTCAAAAGAAAGGTTTTCCCATTTTTACTGGAATTTTTAGGGCAAGCTTTTATCATTTTTACAAGTATTAATTGGGTCACCCGAATAAATTTATTTGTTTTGTGACGGGGTAAACGATTGCTTGTCAATTTTTTTGCCAAAAAAACCCCTATTGATTTGCAGGGAAGTTTTGATTTTTTCCAATTCATGCACTTTTGACCCTTAAAAAAAAAATTATAATATAAAAAAAATGAATGGGGAAAAGATCACTTAATTTTCCCCATTTTTGTTGATTTAAAACAGACTGACCGGCCCCTAAAATTTTAAAGTAGAAATTTTTGCCCCGGGAAAAACCCCCAGACAAACCCTTTTTCTTGTCTGCATTGTTTTTAATATTAATGGCCTACTATTTTATGTTTTCCAAAAAGTTTTTACCCCAAACAAAAAGGTACCCAGTAATTTTAAATTTATAAGCCCTTTTAATAGTACCCTTTATCTGAACGATATTTAGTAAATAAGTAATAATACGTGTAC